CAAAGACATTTATTTTTTTTTTTCATTTTTAAATGTTCTGTTTTCTGGTGTCTGTGAAGATATTTGAAAATTTGCTCGAAAATTAGAAATTTTATGTATTTTTAAATTTAATAAAGAGATGAAAACAGAGGTGAATATGTTCAATCTGGAGGCACAGATTATTTATTTATTTATTCATTCATTCATTCATTTATTTGAACGTAATATAGACATTTTAGATTCTTCCAGAATATCTCTTCTACATCTACATGTACACGATACATACATGTGCAACCGGCAGATTGGGGGCTGATCAAAAATTAGTGCATGGTCAGAATCCCCAGTGTCAGAGCGAAGGTACACATGTCATGTGTTTATGTTATTTTGATGTTGATCTCTTAAAATTTCATGACACGAAATATTTTTATTTAATAAGTTTTAAAATCTCATTAATTTAATTTTATGGAGAAATGAGACCTAATATAATATGTTTACTTAGTAAAGTACATGTATATGATCAAATTGATTGAATTCAATCTTGTGTGGTCAAAAATTGCATGGAATAAACTGATGTACATTGATCAAAAATCGAAGATCAGTCTCTGATTTGGCTGTATTGTGTACAAGTCTTCCGCCCCGCGGTAGAATGGGGTACAACTTGTATATTCCATGTAAATTATGGTGGTCAGCGTAACAATGGGCACTAATTACCTTTTGTTCCTCGTCTGCGGTCACCGGTGTACATAATAAACAACAACCTACACTGTACATGTACTTTCTTCTTTGAGCAGGAAAATCTTTACGGTCGCACGAAAAAAAAAAATTATCCTGTAATATTCAATTTGTTGACGAATCAAATTGAAAATTGAAATAAAAAACTGTTTAGCAAAATAGGACATTGTAGTACAAAGGAAAAAAAAAGAAAAGAAATGAAGTTATATACATATACATTGTACAGACTTAATATTCAATAATTATTTTAATTCACATACATCTATCTTTGCTCAGTATTTAATTTTATTTGTTAGTTTTATGCACATTTCCTGACATGCTTGAGATAAATTTAAAAGTAAATCCCGGGGAGGGGACTACATGTATTTTCAATTCTGAATCTCGGTTAACGATGGTTTGGGGCCGTGAAACGGAGATGAGAAATTGATACGGAACATTTGACTTCATCTTATAATTAAAACATTATGCAAAATGTACATATAAATTTAAAGAAAAATAGATGGTTTAGTGAAAGCAATTATTGAAATTATATTAGCATTAACTGTTCACAATTCAGAAACAGGGAATTAAACTCCACATCGCTCAGAATCCGTGAAAAAAAAATCTTTTATGAATTTTGAATGACAGTAACATGACGTTGTTTATTGCACTCATGAATAAATGTTATAGTTCTGAATTTAGAATCGTTCATTGATTCTCTAAAATAATTTTATTCATGTATATAAAAAATATGTAATAAGTAATTATAACATGTATGACTTATTAAACATAAAACTAAAGAATCAACCTTGCGCGTATCAGTTTTAAGTTAACAGTATTTCACCCCCACCCCCTTTTTGTGCTACACTAAAGCATAATGAAGTCGGTAAGCGCCCAGCCTGTACTGTTCGTTTATACAAAGGTCTCCGACAAGGAGAAAATGGAATAAAAAAAAAACATTATAATCTCTGTACAAAACTATTTCTAATTTTACAAAATTCATGTCGCACGATACACAGAATGTACTGATAAATGACCCGATTCTCAAAACGAAAGTAGAAATTTTACACGTGGTTGACATACATGTGTGTTCCAGAACAGCAATTTAGCTAGACGGCATTAATGGACGAAAGTAACTTCAAGTTTTGTTTTATTTTATTTTGATTTGTTTTTTTTAACTGACTGACCGCGTATAACATGTATAAGCAGTTATTTATTGATCTCCCTGATACTGGCGTATGTCCATAGACCTAACGCAGACAACAAAGAATTAAAGAAAGATGTGTATTTCATTGATTGAAAATCACACTGCACAAGATTTATAGTGTACTGATGGCTTAACAATTAAAATAATAATAATAATAATAATAAAAACAACGAAAGATAGAAAGCGTCCACTGGGTGAAAAAAGCAGTTTCCCGTCATGGGAAACTATATGGAAACCACATGGAAACCTCAAGATTACATCATGTTTCCTAGTGGTTTCCGCAGCGGATGCCAGGTTATTCCGTCAAGTTTCCCTGCCACGGAAACTACTACGCTCCGATTCCATTAGGTATCCCGAACCACGGAAACCTCAGGAAACCTGAAGTTTCCCAAGCCTCCATGTAGTTTTCCGTAATGGGAAACCAGAAGATTCCACTGGTTTCCATGTTTCCATAATTAGGAAACTATGGGATTTTTAACCTTTAAAAATAAAAACTTGTTTTAAAAAGTACTTGGGGAGAAAAACCACTGCAATAACAACACAATTATTATTTTCCGCAGATATTGAAAACTTTGTGAAAGGAGAAATATAAAGGTAAAGAAAAACACAAACATTTATGATCTAATTTTAACATTATGGTGTAAAAATGATTATAATAAAATTAAAACATGAAATATGAAAACAAATAAAATGTTTTTTTTCCCTAGAATATTTTTTTGTTAGAATACTGTAATGAATTTGTTGATGAAATACTTTCTTTAAAACAAATAATCATTTCTTAGGCTATTTTAGTTCCTTCCCAGATTAAAAACAATGACCACAGTAATTATCAGTAAATCTCAGCATCGACAGCACATCAACAGTATTTATCAGTATTTATCAGACTCCACAGTAAAGACGACAGTAATCATCAGTATTTATCAGAAACAACTAAAATTATCAGCAACGACAGTAATAATAACAGTAAATATCAGTATTTATCAGCAAGAACAGCACTGTATCAGTAATTATCAAACATTATCAGTAAATTTGGGATTCTCAGCACTTTTTTCGTCCAGTAGTGCCTGCAACATTCAGTCAACTGAAAGGTCACTGAAAGGTTTGGAAAGGTCACTGAATGACAGGGCTCTCCCCTTTTTTCTGTTTCATATTTGGATATTTTACACGAAAAAGACGTTCATGATAATCTAACAACCATGTTTTATGATAAACATGATGACTTTAACTATTCAATCGTCAACTTCCCTTACTTATGCAGCAATATACCTTCATCACCTGCAAACGGAGTTTATATCTCTTAGTTGATTCGATACGCAATAGCATGCTCTACGTATGAACAATTTATTGACAAACAACTTGATGAAACAAGAATTTCAGCAGTCTCGTTTAAAGTCGTCATTTCGTAAGTACTATGGTCGATGCAATGACCTTGTCAGCAAATACAATTTATCATTAAGTCAAGTAATGACTGACGTTTTTTCATACTAATTGTTTGCCCATTATTTACACACTTTATTTTCGACGGATTTATTTTTCCCTTATTTCCTGATCATGACAAGGAGCACACTGCGGGTGTGACCTGCCTGCAGGGGATGCTCACTCCTCCATGGCACCTGATCCCACCTCTGAAGTTTTAGTTGTCCGTATTTGCTCTGCTCCAAAATTTAAATTGTTTGATGGACTTTTAAGCTTGAATACTGTTCGTTATCTCCATATATTTCACAAACTAGAGGCAATCACTTACGTGTTGGTTTTATTGTTTTATGATAGCAACTTGTTATTATATATATTAATTATTTTTTGCTTGTCAGTTATTTTGCTTGCCAATTATATCGTCCCTTTAAACAGATGCTTTGACGGAATATCTCAAAGCTAGGCCATTATCTCTCTCTCCAAAAAATGCTCGCCTTACCGCGGTATCTAAAGCTTTGCAAATAAGATGAAGTTATAGACATGCTGTTGAGCTCATAGTAAAAGAAACTAAAAAGTAGTACATTGAAACCGGCTGGTATTTATGTATATCATTCCGTTACAAATGCGGCTGCAATTTAATGTTCAGAATACCAAAGTAATTGTATGGAAACCTTATAGAAGAGCAAAATTAATATATTTCATTCATCCGCGTCATATTCCGAGGGAAAACGTCTCGCATTGACGTCTAAACTTTAATTCACTTCTCTTGGGATTTTCCAGCCACTTCAGAAAAAAGATTAAATATTCATAATTATAAGAGACAATTGGTTTTAACTGATTTCTTTTTTATTTTTACATTTTTAACCGTATATTTTTGAATTTCACTGAATGTTTTAGAAAAATAAACATTTTAAATAAATTAATGATTAGTTTTGATAAATAATTGCTTATTTATTAATCCTCCCTGTGACATCCGCCAAAAGTTGTTTACCACTTTATCTCTATTTCTGAATAGATTACCAAAATCGAATGTAGGCTTTTAGTTCAAGTCACATTAACTTCTGATCAGGTAAATTTCTATTATAGTTAACAGACGTCATCTCAGAAATGATGCAAAATTAATAGTGCAAGAAACAACTCTGTTGCAAGCCTTTCAGAACATATTGGCAAAAAGTATTCATTTACATGTATAAGGATGTTTAAAGTAGTAGATACAAAGGTAGTTTCATAATAGTCAAAGACTTATGGAAATATAGATAATACTTTACTGGAGTTGGATTAAGCAGCAATTTTAAGTTTTCCTCCTTTTATCAATACAAAGACCATATTATATAAATTACAAATTCAAGTTCTTGTGGTATCTGAGGGACGACCGAAACAATAAATGAATAATTAAATAAATAATTTTGCAAATTATGCCTTTTTTGTAATTAGAAGCTTTTTAACACCTTCATATAGTGCAGTGGCACATGTAGACAGTGATACTATGCACACTGTAAGACAAAGGTATACGTGTGTTGGTTTCGCGATAGCGTTTTTTCCTTTTCGAGATTGTGGTTCACGAGCACTTGCTTTAGCTACGTTTGCAAAGGAAAACTTTTTTACATTTATGTTACTAAGTAAATTATTTATTATAGTGACATGTGTATTATACAGTTATACAGTGTATTTTACAACAATATACTTAGTTTTTTACACTCGGCCCAAAGGACCTATATGTCACTGTTTATATGTTAACAATATACATATATACAGGCACATAAATGAAGATAAATTATATTAGAATGTTCTTTTTGTGAAATTCTGACGAGTTTTAAAAGCATCGAATATAAAGTTTGCAGAATGTCTGGGAAATTTACATAAAATATCTGAAAAGAATGTATCATCTAAAGACAAATTTGATAAATTTTTAAAACCTATTTTACGAAAGAAGTCTATCCCTTTAATTTCATATAATTTACAGTGTAGTAAAAAATGTTTTTCATTTTCAATTTCGTTATTTTCGCAAAACTGGCAAATTCTGTCTTGGGGTGTCTCAGATTTATAACGTCCAGTTTCAATTCGAAGTGGTAATACACCGCAACGAAACATTGCCATAACTGATCGGACAGGTTTCGGTAAATCCATACTGACGTACTACTCCAGTTCATATTGATTTTTAAAAAGACGGTAAGTTCTTAGTTTGGAAATTTTTTGTAAATCTTCAATCCATTGTCTTTTAATTTTCTGACAGAGGAGTCTTTCGGCAAGTTCTATGCTGCATGTTGATAAGTTTTTGTACGTATACGGCATATTCAGAGAATCAAATAATACTTTAGTTTTTGAGGCCCAATTTGTTCTGTTATTTTGATTCCGATCCCAAAGGAAAATCTTCTTCGTCAGACGGTCGTTTTCTAGTGTCACCAGACGATTCCAGAATCGCAAGACGTTAATCTGATGTCGATAGTAGCATGGCATCCAACCACATTCTCCTTGGATTGCAATCAATGGGGTGAATCGGTGTACTCCTAAAAAATACCGCAAGGCGCGGGACTGCACCATCTCTGCACAATAATAATTTGTGGTTCCTCAAACTCCACTGCAGTAATCTAGAATAGAAGTAACACAGTTGAGATATAGCTTTTCAAATGTTTCAAATCCAACCATTTTAAGGGAGTGAATTTTAAATATCATAGATCCAAGAGCTCGTCCTCCAAATTTTCCTAAATTTTCCGCATTTCTTCTAAAATCAATATTCTCATCAAAGATTACACCTAAATAATTGTAGAAAGGTTCATAAGCTAAATTTTCTCCTCCTAGATAAAATGTATGAGTACTTCTTTTTTTGCGTTTTTTCCGAAAATGAACTATTTTGGATTTATTTGGATTGATTCGAAGACGCCATTTTTTACACCACGAGTCCATAGCATTGAGCATGTCCTGCATGTTCTTTACGTTCGGAGAAATGATTGCGATATCGTCCGCATACAATAGAATGCTTAAATTAAAATTTTCTTCAATCTGCACTCCTTTATTTAATGCTTTGATGGCCGCATCGAGATCATTGATGAAAAGCGCAAATAACGTGGGCGACAAATTATCTCCCTGTCGAACTCCTGAAGAACACTCGAACCACCCTGTGTAGCGGTCTCCTATCCTGATACAAGATTCAGTGTTAAGATAGAGAGATTTTATTGCATGATAGAAGTTTCCATCGATACCATGCTTCAGCAGACTAAATTGTAGTAATTCTCTGTCGACCGTATCAAACGCTTTTTTCAAGTCTATGAACGTAACAAATGTTGATTCATTATTTTCAATTACACTGTTTAGAGTAAATATATGGTCAATACAGGATCTATCTTTTCGATACCCATTTTGTTCATCCACCAAGATATCATTTTCCTCCAAATAAACTAGGAACCTGTTGTCATGTACGGAACTGAATATTTTGGCTACTACAGATAAGAGACTGATTCTACGATAATTCAAGGGAATTCTAGGATCCGACTTGTTATCTTTAATAATTGGGCATAGTATTGCTTTACGCCAAGTATGTGGTACAATTCCAGTGTCAAAGCATAACTGAAACATTTTATGCAATGTTTTGACAACGTTTTCATTTTTTAGAACTTCGTATGGCAGTTCATCTACTCCGACTGACTTGCCGTGTTTTACTTTGTAGACGACTTTTCGAATTTCGAGTTACTAAATAAACTTTGGACCAACATAGGCAACGTAGGATCTCCAGAATAGCGGACATTCAAAATTGAGGACCTAAAACCTTCTATTAATAATTTGATCTGATGAGTAAATAAAAAAAAAATAATTGGGTCGAATTGGCCTAATTCTGTCAGAGCTGTGATGAATCTAAGGGAGAAAATCTGTCAAGATGAAATATTCTTTGCGAATGCACAAGAACAGTTTGAAGAAATCTTGAATTCTTCTAAACGAAGAACTAATTTGTCTGAATGGATATCAAATTCGCACGATTGAATATCTATTTCGTCCAAACGATTATCTCATTCGTCCAAACGAACTTGTCCAAATAAATATTTATTTCTCCCAGTCTAGTGATTCTTGCAGGGATAGACATGAACAAATAATTATAATTACTAGCCACAGCTGTCAATTTCTAAAAAGAAACAACTAGAGGTTTGAATCTATTTTATTGATCTCCTAAAAGCAAAACTCCATCCAGATCCATAAATGTTGAATTATCAAATCAATTTTGTCTCATAACATTATACAGAGTAGTGTAGAAAGTTAATTATCATTTGAACAGATGAAATTAGTTTTGTAATTTCTTAGTCTTATTTTTAGTTTTTCTGCTGTGCACAAGATGAAACACTTCCTTTAAGTTTGGCTTAATGGTGGCTTATAGGTCCTTAATGATGGTTTACAGGTTGTCTTTAAGTCACTATTAAGCACCTTTAACCTAACTTTAAGTAATGAATACACCACCATTAAGTTACCATTAACTCATCTCAAAGTCTTTAATGGGTGCTTAAAGGTAGCTTAATTGTGGCTTAATGGTGGCTTATAGGTGCTTAATGATAGCTTCTAGACAATCTTTAAGTCACCATTAAGCCAGACTTATAGGTGCTTAATGTCCAAACTCCATTAAGCCACCATTAAACCACCTTTAAGCCACCATTAAGTCACCATTACGCAGTCGATAAAACTGCTTTTATGGGTTAAATATTATTTTTGTAATGGTTTCTTCACAAAAATTATAAATGTCGAGTTTATACATGTGTTAATTCGGGAAAAATAATGTAAAAGAAAGAAAATAATAAAAAAAGAAATGAAAAAAGCATCCCCAACAGAATTCGATACCACGACCTTTAGATTGGAGGGCAAACGCTTTAACCAATGAGCTATCGGGGCTGCTGAAATTGGAGAGAAATATAAAACCTTTATTTTTAACAAAACTTGTTTGGACTGTTACTTGTACATGTATTTTTTCCTAATTTTTATATTTATTGATCAATAATACGAATAATTATATTTATATATATTTTTAGAAAAGAATTTTTTTTCATTAAGTTTTATATTACGTTTATGTTACGTTAATATTTCTTAATCGTGGACCGGAGTTCGGTGTGATGGTGTGAAACAACTTTTTGATTTTAAGTAACTGAATTCCTCGTTCTGTTATTCGCAGATTTATAAGGATGAAAAGATTGTAATTCAACAGATATAACGAAATTTTGTTATTAAAATGAATATATCTTCGAAAGAGAACGATGGAAAAAAAAGATTATAGTTCATATAAATATACTGAGGATATTTACGATTTTTTTGCAATTTAATTGACAGTCTTTGCGTAACATTTAAGTTATAAATTATTTTTTTAACATATCATCTTCAGTTTTAATTCTTCTTATATCATTATGGGTATCAAAATAATTGTCTTTTTGTCTACAATCATAAATTCTAATTTGTTATATGCTTGTGTAAATTTTAAGTTTTGTAAAAGTGATAGATCATCAAAATCTGTCACTGTACGTTCCCGTGTATAGTTTCCTGTTAGCTGACCGGGGACTGGTGGGGACACCTAATTAAGGTCTATTGTTTAACCAGTCGATATACTGTACACTGTTTATTTTACCCCGCTTCCAAATGTGTATAAATCTGGTCGGATGCCCTGTTTAATCTGATCGGCTGTTCTTCTGAAAATTGATTTTGAAATAACAATTATTGAAGACCGACTATATTAAGATGAATTCTTACTTCTGCATTATTTTAAATAAATTCTTACTTCTGCATTATTTTAAATAAATTCTTGCTTCTGCATTATTTTAAGTAAATTCTTCTGCAGTATTTTAAAAGAAAGAAAAAAAAATAATGGCACTTAACCAAGATTGAATTCAAAATATTCATTAATTAATTCAATGATTGGCAATATAATCTATACCTATATATATTTTTGCATATCCTTAACATTTCTCTACCCAAAGAAAAATTAAGAGACTTGGAGATATTCCAGAAGAAAATGACTCTAATTACAATATTTCCTATGGATTCGGCAGCGGAAGGTGGCTCTCCAAACACGAAAGAAAAATACTTGATTTAAAAAAAAATATTATACATTATGTATTTATGGATAAAAATAATTTTAAAACAAGTATTCAAACAAACCGATTTTAGGTAGCGAAAATTTTAAGGCATTTGGTGAAGCTGTTCTCAGTTCCCGAGTTTATACGCATTGACAAAGATGTTAGAAATAGCGAGAAAAAATTATAAATTGAATAAGATTTTGCGTAAATGATATCGAAACAACCGTAAACTTAACAAGTTAGTTTAAAGACTTGATATTGGATGCGTTAAGGTGGTTTAATTAAATTTGGACAATAAGCGACCATTAAGCTGTAGCTTAAAGGTGGCGTAATGGTAGTTTAATGATGTTTGGACATTAAGCACCTAGAAGCTGCAGCTTAATGGTGGCTTAATGGTGGCTTAAAGGAATTAACTTCTATAAGCCACCATTAAGCCACCATTAAGCGATTGCTTAAAGATGGTCTTTCGTCCTGTGGTGTGTGCATTTGTTTTATACTGAGTGACTATCAAATCAATGGTGATAAGTTAAGTTGGGTATAGAAAGGGTAAAAAAATAAATCAGAATTCTAATGCAATTAATGACTTTTAAATTGGTGATGATTAAATAGAAACATTCTTGTGAAGCGCAGTGGAAATTATCTACGTTTTTAGTCTGGTTTAAGTAAGAGCTGAAAGGACATTTTTAAGATTTTGAATATCCAATTTTCACTGTTAAGTCAAAATGATATAATCTAGAATATGTTTTCTGACTAGACATCTAGATTGCAATTTCATGCTGGCAAATAGTCAATTTTTGTCCAATTTCATTATTTATTTCAGTACTTAAACCAGAAAATGTGTGGTTATCTTTTTGTAAAAGATCATTACATATTTAGTTTTTAGAAAAAGATACATCATTTCATTTCATCATCTACATCAGTTCTAAAATTCAAGATCAATGTTGACTATATAATTCATTGTGCGTAAATGACTTAAATTTTCATGTCGCACTTAAATTGCAATATTTTTTAAATATAGATGCTGATCAGATAAAAACTGTTGTTTTTATCAAATAAAACAATTTCTTGGATTATCAAGAAATTTGTGGTAAAATCTGTCAAGAAATGTTGTCATGCCAGTGATTTTACAAAATGTTGTTTTCAATGAAATATATAGAGAAAAATTAAATTATCTTCACTTTTGGCACACATCTGTACCTTACTGGTATATCATACTTTAATCGATCTGCTAAATTACCGTCCTACTAAAAAAAATCTTCTGCCAGTCTGTCAAGCAAAATTAATGGTCTTTATGTACTGTTTTATTATTGTGCCAAAAATAATGTCTCAACCGAAATATACATTCAATAAAAAGTAATCAATAAAATTTTAATATTCAATATAATAATAATAATACAATATCTATTTATACTGTTGCATAAAAATTAATAGCAATTCTCTGTAACCACTTAAACTTCTTTGCCACGCATGGTCACCGATTTTGATGAAACTTTGCCCATGATTACAACTTGACACCAGAAACATATATCAAATAAAATTTCGTTGCT